AGAGGGACAGCAAAACCTAGTCACTTACGCTGCAGCCAGAGGTAGGGGCGTTGCAAAGGAGGGTCGTGTGAGGAGATACGTATTCAGCGGATTCGCTTGGACTCGCGTTTTGAGAGTCAGAAATGTGTCACCCGAATAGGACATCTTGAAGATGCCTCGAAACCGGTCCTCCGCCAGGTCTCCAATCTCCAAGATCTCCAGCTCCGGGGGAATGGAACCAAGGTTGAGCTCCGTTACGATAATATCGTCGACGATGATGGGCGGTTTCGGCGACTTATTGAGCGCAGCTGTTAATAAATCTTGCGCACGAGTGTAGAAACTCGCGTCCGCCATAAGCGGCGACCAGTTGAAGTTGAATGCCATAGCAAAGCATTGAGTGAAGATGGAAGTGTTAGCTGACGGAACCCACGGCGCGCTAAGAAAAAATTATGTCCGTCCTTGAACGACGGGTAAGGCGTAAAGGGGGAATAAGAGAAACTGAGGAATAGGATGGAGTGGGAAAAGAAGATATGAATAGAAGATGGGATGTGAGGAGGAGTTGATGCGATGAAAGAGCCTCGAGGCTATGGGTTAATGCGAAAGGAAGGAGAGAGAGGAGTGAAAAAAGATGGTCGAAGCGAGGATTCCCGAGGCGCAGGGCTCCCGGCGGTACAGTGGGTAAAGTACCCAGATGGCAAGTTGACTCGCGTGATCCACGCGACACCTGGTGATGAGGTTCGACTTAAACAATGATCTTGAGGTCGTGGTTTAGGTTTTACAATTAGCCCATGTCAATGATTACTGAAAGCTATAGGAATACAAACAAGGACTGATGGAGTTGATGTTGTTTTTGGCAACATAGTGGTTGCGTTAATCCGTATTCGTCTTACAATCTTCAAGGGGGCGGGAAGGAAAAATAGCGAAAATAGGAGAACAAAAACAGAAAAAAATACGTCACTCTCAGTCAGCTTCAACAAGGCTCCTCATGCAAGTTACCTCAATTATTGCCTACATACTTAGCGATATTATTCCTTAGTGATAATGATATGCACAATTATGGAGTCTCTCAGGCATACTAAATTAATGGAGATCTCGCAGCAAGTAATGATGCAAGAATAATAACAAGATGACTCCATTTATCCCCATCAAACCCACCATCTTCGTTCCGGACTACCCCGAGTTTTCCGTAGACCCTCGAAAATTTGTTTTTCATCCTCTATCTAGCTAGACTAGGTACGCTAGCAGGTATGTATTGTCTCCGTTCGACCGTCTTCAATAATGACAATAATACTCTCCGCGCACCTGCACCTCCTTGTTTCAATTAATCCAATGTAGTAGATATTCCGTATTGTCAGCACTCGGCAGAGATCTAGGTCAATATTCAATGACTAGCGGCTCATTTCAGACGGGTTCTGGAACGTCTGGCGGGGAGCCAACGGGCCATAACCAGTTGCTATAGTGCAGATCTTAAGACCACCGCTCCCCCCCTGCATCAATTCAGTCGACAAGGCCGTCCCAATTTATCCCGTCATTAAACCTTCATCACGATGGTGGTTTTGGAAGGTTTTGTATGGTGACAGGAGTGACAGAAAACATCAATGCAACCACGCCGTTGGAAGTTATGCTTCGGCTAAGAGCCTAAGGTCGTCGGGCGTCAGATTCCTTTCTCGCTGCTCTCGGGTCTCGTTTTCCCAAAAGAGGTCTGCAGGGAAACAGCTTGAGGAGCCAGCCGTTCTGCCTATCGTCTTCCACGACCTCGCTTCGAATGCTGGTGATGATTGCACTGATCAATGACTACAGACCGTCTCATATGCCATCTCATATGCTCCGACCATTTTCCTCAGTCCGCACTTCCACTAATGCGCGGCCTCATACCATACATGGCCCTGCATAGCTTTGCGTGTGAACTGAACCTGAGGTCCAAAACTCATTTGGCATGCATTGTCCCGCCCTGCTCAAGTGAATCTGATCTCGCGGAACGCGGACTTGCAATGAAGGCGGCTCTCTTCTTCTGTCCCATTAACGAACACGAGACTCGAGCAACGGGCATGCCACCATAGTGGTGCACGTATCATGGTTAAGGGTTGTGATTTATATCCTCTGATGAACTAGTCAAATTCATCAGGACAGTTTCACATCAGAGTACGACATATCTTCCGTCCTTATGGAGTAGATCTGCGAAGTTGAGCAAAGGCCCAGAGATAACAGGAGAATGTGTCTACTCGGAGATTTCACCCGCACTTGGCAGAATTCAGGAGCACATTTGCCCAGTATTCAAGCCTGCAAGCTTTTATTTTAGAAAGAAATGTCTGTTGAACAAGTTCCTGGCAAAAAGGGTTGGATAATGAACAAACAATGAGAGAAGATTAGTATATAAATCAAGTCACGTGATCTCGCCAAATGCCAGGTTCACCCGGGCAACTCCACACTAGTCTGGTTTTGGAAATACATCAATAGCCCTGACGTCCAGATTGTCCTCTTATGAATACCAGAATGAACGGCAAAACAAATCCCATTTGATGGCCGGTTCCCCTGAAAGATAACATACATACAATATCCCGACAATAATCCCCATCACGATGCTGGTACCACCCTCACCAACGACTGCAACCTACGCGACATCATGGGATTCGAAACCAACCTCGAAAGCACGCGGTGCCCAAAGAAGAGTCTATGGAAAACGGAGAGTTGATGCGCCGCGAGCAGTCTTTGAACAGGGCAGCCCAGTAAAGTCTCTGGAAAGGGCGACAGAGAAATTAGTTCAGGATGCCGTGGACTGCATACAAGCGAAACTGGCTGAAGTTACATTGAACGAATCTCCTGTAGATGCGGGGAACGAGCAAAAACCTGCACAATCCTTGCATGAAGGAAATGAAGTGGAACATACGCCCACACCAAAACTCGAGCCGCTGAAGCCAGAGATCGCCCGTACTCCATCGCCAGCGCAAAATACACCGAAATCAGAGAAACGCTATGAGAGAATGGTAGAGGTCAGAATAACTCCGAGAAAGCTTCAGACAGAGCCTACGAGCGAGAAGAAATACGAGAGCGTTACACACAACAAAGCTAGGAAGCCGAGGCAGAAGAAGTCCGCACAACGTCTGTCCTCAGGCTGCGTCCCCGACGGAAAAGTCAACGCGTATGTCCGCGCCGTACTTGACGAGGCTGTATCGCCGATTGCCGCCCAGGGTGTCCAGAAATTCAGTTCGTGGGCTGCTCGAGCTGGCAATGCGCTTGAGGTTGTGAAATTGGCTGAAGGATCTTACGGAGAAGTATACAAGCTGCGTTTGAGAGAGGAAGTTTGCCTGAAAGAAATGTCCAAGTTGAAGCTGGCACGCTTAAGGGCCTACGGCGATGGAGTATTCAAAGTCGTTCCGTTACGAGCGCAGAGCGGCCCCGGTTCGAAAAAGTTCACGAGCATTGAGGAAATCGTTTCCGAGGTCAAAATGCTCAAATACTTGGATCCGATTCCAGGATTTGCTCGTTTTCGAGAAATCCACGTCGTTCAGGGTCGATTTCCGGACTCTTTCCAAGTTGCCTGGGACCATTATAAAAAGACAAAAGACGATTGCATGAATCCTAACCCTTCGAGTAAAAGGGCGTATCCCGATACACAGCTGTGGGCGATAGTGGAGATGGACGATGCCGGCTGCGAATTAGAGAAATTCTCCTGGTCTTCAATCTTTCAAATTTATGATATATTCTGGGGCGTTGCAATGGCGCTCGCCAGAGCGGAAGAATATGCATTGTTTGAGGTGAGTACCAGCACAGTATACACCGAAAAGCCAGTGGCTTACCCTGTTGAAGCACCGAGATCTTCACCTCGGCAATGTGTGCATCAAGACAACACGTCCGGACGGTTGTATGGCGCCTCCATCCGATATCGAAATAATGCGCCAATCATGGACTAGCGGCTTTGGCCTCAGCACATTGGAAACCACTATCATCGACTACTCTCTCTCACGCGCGGAGCTGCGGGCCAGTGATGATTCCGACGAGATTGTGGACATTGCTTCATCAGATCTCGATAAGAAGCAAATTTTCGATGCCATCGGCCGAGACGAGGACGAGGTTCTGTTGAGAGACACGTATAGACAGTAAGACCAACCCTTTCGTAACGTATAATATGGCAATCATGATATTAACTTGACATTTAGTATGCGCGCAGAGCTATACACGGGAAATCCGGTCGATACCGGAAAGACCCCCGATATTCCAGGCATCTGGGCGGAATACGCGCCTCGAACAAATCTCATTTGGCTTTTATTCATCCTCAAGAATCTTCTCAAGAATCGCAAGAGCGAGCCCTCTCAACCGGCCGCAACAAGATCACCCTTGGCCCCCTGCTCACCCAATAAAAATATCGAAACGAAGCAGGCGAAAAAATTCGGCGAGAAAGCTAAGAAGCCACTCCTTGGGCAAATACATGTCACGGAAGCAGATAAAAAAGTTTCTGTCTTAAAGAAGTCACTCGAGGACAGACTAAAGTCCGTCTTAGACCTGCTAGATCTCGAGCATGGCCATAAGGACATGTGCTGTGCTGCGGATCTGGTAGCTTACGCGATTGACTCGCAGTGGCTAAGCGAGGAGGACTTTTTCTGAATCACATCATTGATACACCTGCATCTGGGAGGCGACAGTGGCTTATTTCGGAGTTAGTTACATTGCAAGCATACAGGGTCATCGCAATGGTAGCAGCTGCACCGGACGTTGTATTATTATATTTTCCTTTGGATCAGCCTACTCGCATCTGCACAGCCATCGCCAATTTTGAGCGTTCTACATTTTTTCATCATGTTCATCTTGAAGTGGAGGAAATATTCATCTCTCCTATTTAGGCTGCAATTCGAGGAACTGGCGCTATTTCATTCTTCAAATGCTATTTCATCCATTCTTTCACGATGGGATAACCCAGCTATGAATCCAAGTGCGCAGCTGAATGCGGGCGAGCTAAGTCACGACCGTTGTACAAGGGGACGAAACAGAGTTTTGAGGCTACATTTTGTGAAGGCATCACTGAGCTATTCCATGCTGTCTTCTTCATATCGGCCATCGGCGCGAGAGATCATTACCTTCAGCGGAGGCCTATTCCACAAGTTGTAGGATTCCTGATCAGCCCAGTCACCGCTTTCAGGACATAGTTCCATGTCTAAATGCCAGAAGACCTTGGCTAGGATGAGTCGCATTTCCGCATTTGCTAGGCTGGAACGAATTAATTATCTGATGAATTGAGGGCAATCTATTGAAGATTTGGAATTGGGCTCCAAACTGGAATCACTTACTGTTGGCCAAGACAATTGCGAGGCCCGTATGAGAAGGGCTGAAAAGCCTCTTTCCTGTCCATAGCGAACCGGCCATTTATTTCTTCCTCAGGACGTGCGAGCCAGCGTTCAGGCATGAAGGAATCCGGGTTGTGGAAGTTCGCGCTCGAGTGGAAGATCGACCAGAGAGATATCGAGACCGATGTCTAGATCAGAGTCAGCTGAAAGGAAGCGAAGAGAGTTCATCAGGGGCCCGGACTTACCCCAGCAGGCACGTATTCTCCATGTATCATCGCTCCCTCATCGGGAACAAGCCGTGGTAACATCGCAGGAATTGGAGGATAGATCCGCAGGCTTTCTTCCAGCACGGCATTGAGGTAAGAAAGCGTGGCAATGGACGACAACCGAATCTCCGATGGGTCTTGGAAACTGCTGCGGATTTCAGTCACCAGTCGCCGGTAGGCACGAGGGTTCTTCAAAAGATAGAAGGTACACCCAGACAGCAATGCAGCCGTGGTCTCACTGCCGGCCAGAACCAAAGTCGCAGCGTTGGCGTCGATTTCTTGCCGCGACATGCGGTTCTCGTCGTCTTTATGCCTGAGGATATACGAGATGAAATCTGGGCGGTTTGTCTGTCTGTGCAACCGACGGCTGACTTTCTCCACGGTCAACTGGAAACTTGCCTCTCGTCGTAGATGCAGGTAGCTCGGGACCAGCAGCTTCGTCAAGGGGCTTAGGAAGGGGAAGAACCAAAGAATCTTGAGGTAGACGCTGAGCTTGACTGCATCAAGCATGATGGATACCCACCAGTGATACTTACTATCTTTCAGGCAGTGGAACGGCTCGCCAAAAGCGAGGTCACCGATGAGATCAAACGTGGTGTAGTTGTACCATCTGGTGATATCGACGGCCTCCGAGCGCGAATGATGCAGTTGCTCTCGCAGCTTTTGGACGAGAAGATTCGCATAAATGTGCAGTAGCGGTTCCTGCTCCCTTAGGGCTCTGTCCGAGAATGCATGGGCAAGGAGCCGCCGCATGCGAATATGATCGGACTCTGCCGCTGTGATGATTGCGTTCACGCCATTAGGTGTCGGGACATAAAGGGAAGGATCCTTGGGAAATGTTCTTTGGCCCTTTTTCGTTCTGTGTCCGTATATCTCCTTCCAGGCCTGTGGAGTTCGGTAGACGAGTGCATTGGGACCAATGCGGACCACGTCGCCATATCTGTCATGAAGATCTTTGACTTTTGAGTGCACTTTGCCACGAATCTCCCAGACAAGAAGCGCAATTGGGGATATAGCAGCAATTTTGGGTCCTGGATATCGGCTCAAAGGGTGAAAGTATATAGCATAGATCGAATGGCCGATGAGGTAGATAGAGCCCTGTTGTCCGGTCAGCATCCGACGGCGACAGTTTGCGGTTTGTGATTGCTTCTCTACGAACCAGAAGCATGCTCCAACTCAACATTACCGAGAGCATTAGCCTATCGAAGTCATCGTGAATCCACAGAGCCATTTCAAGTCAGATCTTGAGGTTTACTTGTAATAGACCTTGATATGCGGCAACGCTCCTCATCAAGACTAGAGAGTGAGGACCGCAGGTTGTGAAGTATAGACCGAGAGTATGTCGTTGGTGAGAGATCATCGATCATCACCAGCGAGTTGAAGTAATTCAGATTAGATGATAATATTCCGGCATATTCATGTACAACTGATGGAGGCCAAAGGCCAGCTAGATGCCTAGCCATTGGCGTCTATTCATGGCCTGTATCCCTCACGTCTACCTTACCTGCAGTAGTGATGTAGAGCCCATCAAAACCGGACTCCATCATACTAGAACGACTGCCAATGAGGCACTATCTTCAAATAGGATAACCAATCAACACTTCAAGGTGTACTGCGAAAAGAGCGTGGATGTTAAAGGTAGCCTTAATAGGAAAATGTGTGGACAGGGGAGAAGCGAGGGCGGTTGTCACAAAGTACGGAGGGCAGTGACACGTTGCTACCGAGAAATACAGAACAAAGGAGATGAATCAGAATTCTCGTTCGTGTCCTTGTGCTCAAGGTGGAATGGCGAGTCCTCTTATTGGACAATGCAACAAACCTAGCATTATATGGTCATGATCCGTGATATTATAGGTCAAGCCTATCTCGTCTATATGCTCTTGCCTCCCAGAGGACATTCATATGTTGGCGATAAGGAAGCTCATGAGACTTCCTGCAGCCAAGCCACCCACAAGAACCATGCTCATGAATCCACCAGCGGCCTCTCGTTCATCCACAGAAACCCATTGACCAGTTCCCATCATACAACTGCTGCCAAGGTATCCATTGGAAACCCCGAACAAAAGCTGTACGACGAAGAGATAGAAGAGATCACTCTGTACGATGGCCCCTCTCCCGGCAATGTTACAAAGCAGGTAAAGTGGGATGAACCCAAGGCGGGCCAGAGAAATGAGGAAAAGGACCCAAGGACGATGGGCTAATGAAAGACTGGGGACAATGACTAACATTCTCCCAATTAAATCACCAGAATTCCAAGAGAGAAAAGCCACTGGAATGAAGACTTCTCGAGAGAATAACCGGGAACGATTGGGATCTTGATGTACGGACTCGATTTCTGCGGTGAAGACCGCGTACACCATAGTAATGGCAAAGCAAAGGAACAGAGCCGATGCAAGAAACCGTAGCTTCTTGAACAAAACCCAGAGACTCACCGTCTTATGAGCATGACCAGAAGGAATTGAATCGTGTTGCTCCTCTGACAACTGTAGGGATATACCCGACCGTCGTCTGACAAGGGAAAGGAAGGCGACCAGCGACATAGCAGCAATTGTGGTGGCTGTGATGAAATACATAAATGCGGACTTTGATGAAGCCTGAGGCATGTTTTGTCCCTTTCTCTCTGGCACTGCCAAAGCAGAGACAATTTGCACCACGCAGGGAAGCACGCCGGCTACTGCCTGTCCTGCCATAATTGCTTGTGTATATTCTTCTCTCCCGAACCCAGACACATAGGCAAAGACACCATTCTGATTGATGCCGGTTGCTAAGCTTGCCCCAAATACCATGAACATCAGAAAGCTGAAGTAGGCTTTAACATCGACATCTTTCATAAAGACTGTCGAAAGTGCCAATAGCGAGAAGACGACAATGTTTATTAGTAGAGAAAGCGTTACTCGTCTCGGGTATGACGCCCCTTTCTGCAGTTTGGCGAGAATGAATGCGGAGCCCAGGTTAGTGATGGTCGAGACTGTCAGAATCGAGGGTTGAAAATGGGTTGCTGTCCAGTTGTCCGACTGGAAACGGAGATAGAAATACGGTGCTGCGGCAAGAAACATATTCCTAATCCAGGTAAGGCAAGAGTCAGAAAGCTTTCAGGTAAAATCGGTAGGACAGAGGTCAGATGGCGAGGGAGGTACACAGTCGTGGGAACGTACCATGCCCACAACATTGACACCCCCAGAATAAAGAATACAGCATATTCATATCTGGAGAAAGGCGATTCATGCTGTGATCGTGGGGAGATTGAACCATGATCATCGTCATCAACCTCTGTAGGATGCACTATCGGCTCGTAGGCCTGTGGGCGAGTGATCAACCGCCGGACGCGATCCATTGCTCTTCTATATGGTTCGTTCAGTCCTTTCCAACAATAGAAAATGGATAGATCAAAAGAAAGCAATCAAGCCATAGTTAACATTTGATGGCTTGCAGGAACCACAGCCCGCCATGAAGCCAAGGTGCTTAACAGTGATGGTCGAAGGTGCTGTCAGGAGGAATAGTGCCAAGACTTGTGACCTGCGATGTCATGTGTTGTTGCCTTACTTTTGGGTTGCATTTAGCCAACGGACTACTCCGTAGAGGAGACTCGACAATCACCGATTTCAATTCCACGATTTCAGAGTGCTGCAGATGGGTGCCACTCGTGAGCACTGGTTGTGCCTATACTTCAATTTGACTCACTACATGTCCAGTTATGAGGTTTTCCCAAGGGACCTATTTCAATAATGAAATTCCGCCAACCTTTTGACACTATTGACCGTCTAGGAATAAATTTATAGACACAAAATAAAGGGGATATTCTATATGCCAAGATGCCAAACTCGCGAAGAGAGGAGTTAACGTAAGAAAACAAAAAGAAATAAGCGGACATGCAAGGGAGCCTATGGGAGCGCCTGGGGCCCCCGATAGTCTATCTAAAGCACTAATCACTCTTTCGCGATTCAGGGAAGATGTTGGTATCCTCGGACACCTCTGTCACGTCCTCGCTCTTCATGTCCCAAGCGGTTTCCTGCGCCACCGGGTTGGCAGCAGTGACGGGCTGGTCCGCAACCTCACCGCCACTCATCTGCCATTCCATCAATTTGGTGAAGGCGCCATCAGGGCGAGCACTGAGCTCCTCATAACTGCCCTGTTCGGCTACCCTTCCGTCGGGACCAAGGACAATAATCGTATCGGATCTCTTAATTGTAGAGAGTCGATGAGCGATGCTGATGGTAGTATTGTTACCACGAAGGAGCGCGGTAAGAGCGCTGTTCACAAGAGTTTCCGATTCTGCATCGAGAGCAGAAGTTGCTTCATCAAGTATGAGAATATCAGGATCCTTGATCAGAGCTCGGGCAATCGCAATGCGCTGCTTCTGGCCACCAGAAAGCTGAGCGCCTCTGGGTCCCACCTGGGTGTCGAGTCCATCCGGCTGGACAACAGAGTCAGCTGCATGTGTAAACCAAAATGGAGGTTGATTAACTTACAAAGTCACTTATAAACTGGCAGTTCGCCTTGCGCGCAGCTGCAACGATCTCTGACCGTTTGGCCTGAGGCTTACCATACGCAATGTTCTCGGCTATGGTCCCCGAAAATAGGACAGGCTCTTGGGAGACGATGCCAATCTTTCGTCGAAGGGATTTGGCGTTCATATGGGCAATGTTTTTGCCACCGATTAGAACTCTTCCTTCGGTAGGAGAGTAGAAACGGAGCAAGATGGAAGCGATAGTTGATTTCCCACCTCCCGAGGGCCCGACGATAGCAACGTTGGTCCCTTGGGGAATTTCGAAATTGAGATCTTTAAAAATGGGAACAGCAGGCCGAGTTGGGTAACTAAAAGTCACGTTTTCGAAGCGAATAGGTCCTCGCGCCGAAACGACCTTCTCGCCCTTGGTGGGAGATATGGTTGGCTGACGATCCTGCAATTCGAACAGTCGACTAGCTGCCCCGACACCTTTCATCAGTTCAGAGTAAAAGCTCGAAAGACCGAACATGCTTGACCCCGCGTACGCCGTGTACATCAGGAATGAAGTTAATTCTCCAATGGTTATGGAACCAGTTTGGACCATGCCTCCTCCTACGTAGAGCAAAGCCAGGATGGTCATGTTGCCAGCGAACCCGGTCTAGACAAGGTTAGATCTATGCAAAGCGGTAGGGTTGGGTGACAGATGCGTACGGAGCTAAAGAATGTGGCACTGATCAAGGATTCCCTTTTGCCAAGTTCAAAAATCTTTCGCACTTGATTGTTATACCGGTGAACCTCGAGAACCTCGCCAGCAAAGGACTGGCTAGTCTTGACATTGCCCAGACGCTCCTCCGCAATCTTAGTCAATGTTCCAAGATTTCTCTGGATTTGACGGCTCAGGTTTCGAATCGCTCGTCCGTAGAAAAACGCCCCAAGGCCGATAGGAGGGAGGAGGAGAGCCAATATACTGGAGAGCTTGAGACTGACGTAGGCCATTAGACCGAACCCCGCTGCACCGCTAACTGCCGCGCGCAGTCCATCGGACAGGTTCTGTGTAATACTCTTGCCGACAATAATGGTATCAGAGCTAAGACGAGAAATCAAGTCACCGACCCGATTCGCATCGAAGAACTCTGCATCTTGCACAAACGTCTGGCGGAAGAGTTTCGAGCGAAGCCTGGCAACGATGCGCTCACCAACAATACGCAGGATGATAATGCGACCATAGTTCGCCGCAGCGCCCAGAGTGAGAATTCCAGCCAATGCACCATAGAACATGGGAAGGCTCAGACCGAAGAGCTCATTACCACCTTCTGTAGTCGCTTTTGTAGCCGTATCCATGATCTTCCCAATTGAAAATGGAATGGACATCGTAATACCAGACGATACCAGTAAGAAAAGAAAGGCGAAGACGAGCTTCTTCGCCTCCGGTCGAGCGATCAGTAAGAGCCTCCATATTTCCCTGAACCCGGCCTTCTTTCCAGCAGCACCATCTTTGGCGAGCTTCGCGCTGAGGTTGACCTGTGCTGCCTGAGCGGCTCTCTCTGATAGCTCAAAACCTTTCTCGATGTCCTCAAGCTCCTGATCCTGGCGTATCTCTGACCTCACTTCCTGACCGAGTGTCGATTCGACGTTCGGCTTTGCCTCCAATGGTCGCTGGGAGGTGGAA